CTGCAGAACAACCTGTAAGGAAGATGGGTAACAGTGTGGTACCGAAAATAGAGGTTTTGAAGACGACCCAACCGAATAAAGACTCACAAAATTAGAATGATTTCAAGCCAAAGAAAAAAATCGCGTTCCCTTTGGATTCCGAAGATTAGTTGGAAAGATTGGAGGAAATCAAAACGGAATACTTTGGTCTTTCGACTACAAGTCAGAAAGTCTACAAATCTAAAGAATCACAAAAATTAAGGTTTCTGATTCTGAAAACTCCGACTACTAGAGAAAGAATCCTGAAACTGGATTCTCATTCCGAAGGCCAAGGACACCTTTTTTCCTTTTTTTTGTTAGCTGTTGGTATTTTTTCGAAGGTTTCAAAAGCGTCTTTTTAAATATATTTTACATTTTCTGGTCTTTTCACCTTTCTGACAATTTTATTTAAAACTATCATCGCTGGACATGTACAGTGACAACTTTCGATGTTTCAAGTCCGAAATTTTCGTTTCTTGAACCTTTGCTGTTCTAAACCTTCTGACGACCAGTTGGATCGGCCAAGAAACCGAGGGATCTACTCGTCTGAAGGCCTACGAAAGTATCATTTTGAGTAATAACTTGTGTTTTCGAAAGATCCAGATAAAATTTTTAGTACATTGGTCCTTTTACTGGCTCCCTGTTAAACTAGGGCGCAAGCGATGAAAACATCTTATTTGAATTATTCTATAAGTATTTACCCAATCAGATGTGTTAGATTTTAGTTGATCGTAATTTCTCCAATTAATACCTAGAAACGTCTATCAAATTACACATACTCTTTCCTTTTCACATCTATACGTGGGCACGCACAATTCACGCAATATGCAGATGATGGTGCCAAAGATTAGCGAGCATTTATGGTCAATATGCCAAACTTTCTCTTTTCATTGTACAAGTTGAATAATTGACTGAGAGGCTACATGTAAGATCGTTAAGGCACTTTGAATAAAGAAAACAATTATAATAGAGCACGTATAAAGCACTTTTTCACAAGAAACAAAGAGCATGCACAAGTACACACAAGCACAGAAAGAGAAAATTGTTATGGCAACTATTGATTACAAGGGGATGGAGTTCCAAGTTTGTTGGGGGGGGGGGGCAATGACTGCAAAGGCCTATCTGTTTACTGGCTCGAGGATGGTATGCGTATTTGTACTGCCTGATCGTGATTTATACATGGATGTTTGCGCATGAAGTAGATCACCCAGGTTGTTGTTGTTGTTGTTGTTGTTGTAGGTAATTGTTTAATGGCGTTCATTCAGTATTGAATATATACGCCATAAATATCTTCAATTTTATAAGAAAATCAGTTAGGTATGCTGAAAGTCAGTTAGGTATGATCACCTAGGTATGCTAGGGCTTGATTATTGAGACATTTGTAAGTGAGAATTAAGGTCCTACGTATGATACGATCATTAAATCAAAGCCAATGAGGGGAGTCAAGATCTTGAAGCGATATACCATGAAAAAGCGAATTTCAAGGGTCTGCTTACTTTCATCTGACTGGGCTATTAATGACTGGTGTAGCGTGCCCCCTCCCAAACAAATGAAAAAGTTAATGATTAGACACATTTATACAGCGACTATGGCTAGGGTATCACAATGCTTTATTCGAGTGTTACATACCGATCGATAAGAAGGCTACAATCCCACAGATCTTCAGTAATTTTAAAGCCATCTTCTTAGAGTGATCTATTACGAAACAGGAAGAAATACAAAGGTATTGTGAAACTGACAGCCATCTAATGTCTGTGTGAAATCATTATCGTCATTATTGTTACCATCACCCTCATCGTTATCATTATCATCTTCATTACCATCACCAGCAGAAGCAGCAGCAGTTGCAGAATAATTGAATTTTAATCATATTCATCTGCGTCGTCGTCACAATTATCATCATCATCATCATCATCGACATCATCGACATCATCTTCATCATCAGCAACATCATCAGTATCTTGATCGTCATCATCACTATCACCATCAGTATCCTGATCGTTATCATCACTATCACCATCAGTATCATGATCATCGTCATCATCATCCGGATGTAGAATATGCATGTTGTTATAAGTTTTTTTAAATTATAGATTTATAATCATATTATCACTCCCCACTTACAGATTAATGACATATTTGTTGTCATTTTAGTTTTAAAATGTATATGTATTTATATGAGGGATCCTGTTCCACCAGCCCAGGGGGGCGTTTTTACAAAACTTGTCATTAGTGACAAATGACAGTTTTTTGTTATAAGCTACATAAATCCTTGCTTCTGATTGGTTATCAGCAGATTTGTCACTGGTTTTTGTCATTTGTAATTGTAAAAAGGCTTTGTGAAACGGGTCCCTGCTTCTCAATAAATCCCTCCATTTCCACACTTTTTCTTTAGAAAAGCACACATTATTTACAGCAAATGTATACATTCGATTATTGATATGCAAAATGCTTTAAATCAATGTATTTTTTTTCCTTTCGGATCGACTTTTGCTCATAATTATTTTTATGGATTGTTCTGTTGGAAATGAAATTAAAACTGAAACTGAGACAATCCACTCATTGAAATCAAAATAATACTTACAACTTATTTGATCGCCCACTTTTTGGTTATACACATGTCAAATTGAAGCTTTAGATTTGTAGGTGTCCATATAGGCTTCGAAACTTCGAAACGCTTGGTATATCACTCCGCTTTTTCAATACATGTATTACCTGTGTATTGAATCTAATAATGGGATGCCGATGAACTTATGACGGTTTCGTGAAGCGCTGCCCATATTCTTAGAGTGAACGTCTCACGGTGTGCGAATAGGCAGGGAATGCGTGTGAGTGCGTGTGTGTGTTTGTGCGCGCGCATAAGGGCGTTATCAACTACTTCGGTGGGGGGGGGGGGGGGGTGTTTCACAAAGATTTTAAGTCGAACTTAACTCTAAGTTAGACTTAAAAGTTATGGAGAGCCATTTGTAGCCTTAAAATAAAGTATATTCAAAAACAAAATTTGAAGTATTTAGACTTTTCATAAATTCCACATCAAAACATAAACTCTACCATGATAATACAAAATAGGATTGCTTTGAATCAACATTTTATGCCTTTTAAAATAAATTTTACAAATATCTTCATAGATGCTTACGGCTTTCCATAATTGTTAAGTCCAACTAAGAGATAAATTCAACTTAGGATCTTTGTGAAACACCTCCCAGGTCATCGGTGTTTTCAATTGAAAACATGAACATAAAATGGCCAAACTCTAGAGCAGTCGTTTTAGATTTTTTATTTGAAGAAAGAAAAACCTTCACATTTAAGTTTAATTTGAGAGACGGAATCAGTATCAGCATTAAAAAATAAATAACGGTATACAAATCATCAGTCGCTTAAATATATCAAATACTACAGTGTATTATCTTTCTCTCTAGGGAGTCAACACCTTTTCTTTTTTTAAATATTTTTTTCTGCTTCATGGAGTTAACCCTTTCTTAGTTAATGTTTCCAATTAAGAAAACCAATAATGTCATGACCTAATTCCACAGATCATTCACCCAAGACCCACAGCTTGATATTGATGATACAGGCATTAATGGACGATTAGTTTTGACGGCGAATAATTTCATTTAGAAAATAGCGGGATATTGTAACGCACCACGCTTTAATAACGATCACCTACAAGTGAACTTTGCAAGTGAACTGAAGTAGATTCTGAGACACGAAGACATTTTTTTTAGGATGTCGAAACTTTTTAATCTTACACATACTAATCGTCACTTTTTCTACCTGTTGATTAACGGCGTATCCAGTGATTGGCTTCAGAACGGGCAAACTATTTCGACTGATTATGAACCACTAGTAAGGAGACCTATAGTTTACGTTACAAGACTTTACCCTCAAGAAGGATACACATTTCAACTTACTGTTAGCCGTATACTTCTAGTAAAAAGAGCTCTGGCTTGCGATAAAAGCGGGAAGGCGGGATGGGGAACATCGCCCAAAATTATTTATGAGAAGTAAAGTCTTTGCGATTGTGTCTACACTTTGAGCGTTTCTCGACTTAGATGTGTATAATAGTTCCTAACGTGTTACTAGTGAGGCTGCTTTACTTGTTGTTGATATAACATCTGCCAGGAGGGGCGAAGTGAACCTTTTGAAATAATTGGCAAGTGCCCTTGATTCTCCCTGATATTGAAACTCTTTGATTTTTTGTATTACCGGACCAAGTGTTCAATAGGATTTATCTGTAGTCTCTTTGTATTTTTTGTAGTAAAGACACAAACAAGCTTATTATTGAGAGAAGGAGAGAGCGAGAGAGAGAGAAAGAGAGAGAGAGAAAGAGAGAGAGAGAGAGAATGGTGAAGAGAGAGAGAAAGAAAAAGAGAGATGAAGAGAAGGAGGGGCGTGAGAGATAAATAAAGGAAGGAATATATTTTTGGAGAGAAAGAAAACAAAAGACAGAGAAGTAGTGAGAGAAACATAATTATGAGGGTAGAGATATATGGATTGAGCTATAACATATGATATATATATATATATATATATATATATATATATATAGAGAGAGAGAGAGAGAGAGAGAGAAAGAGAAAGAGATAGAGAGAGAGAGAAGTCACATACACAATGATATACACATACATGGCAGTTTGGCAGGGTTTTTCGGCCTTTCAATTGAAAGCTTTGTTTATTCTTTGTTTCTACACTGATATCATTGATTATTAAAAAGTACGATTTTAAAGTGGAGTTTATTAATTTAAATAATGAACGCCCCTCAGGTCATGTCCCTGCAGCAGAGCGAGTCCACAACTGTTTGTTTTCTCCTTCTTAAAGATGGGTTCATGAAAGACTGATATATTATGATCTAATTTCACACAGCGGGTGGTTTATTTGATGTTCTGAGTAGTCATTTCCGAAGAGCATTTGTAAATTAATTTCAAAACATGCAGGGGGTGAAGGAAAGCACCCATCCACAACAACTCAAACACGATAAATACTGGAGAAAGGACATGGATTAACACAACGCTGATTCGACAGACAGTCTAAGGTTACAGTTGTGATATCTACTCTCGGTAAGTGAAAACATTATTTTTGATTTGATCAAAGAAATTCGACGAATGTGTAATAAACTATAGATGAATCTACTTTTTATTTTTTTCCAGTAATTTATTTATTTTTTGTTTATTCCTTTTTTTTGAATACCTGAGTTAGTTAATTTAAAAAAGTATACTTATTTGTTTATTTATGAATTCGTTTATTCTTTTATCTTTTATCCTCTTAATCATCTAATCATTTATTCAATTGCTATCTAGTGTGTGTGGGAGGGGGAGGGACCTAGAGAAAATAAACATGATCTTTGATGATATGTACCCTTTTATGCAAAATGTGGTCGCGAAATTTGCTTATTCTGACAACAGAATATTGAACTTGAAAAAGATTTATCATGAAAAAAGGAAGAAAGTAAGCCTACCTATAAGATGAAAGATGTTCGTGTATTTTAAGCTATACTTTCTTACTGCAGACGATGGGAAGTCTCTCATATTCGAGTCATATGAGGGATCATTAGTCATAATTTTCTTTCAGACTCACCAATCAAATTCAAAGATGACTAAGGCTATGTACCTTGCTCTTGCCGCGGTCCTCATCGTTGCCGCCTTCGCCTTCGAGATGGAAGACGATGACGACAACGATGTCGCCATGATGAAGAGGATGCCCGAGGTACATGAATACCTGTGGGCCGAGAAGAGGGGGCAGAACCTGAAGAAGTACAAGTGTAAGTATTCACTTTAGTCTTCATTAATTCTTTAGTTTAAACAAACACCATGGAAACATTGAAAGATACTCTCCTATAAGAGAAAACAGTGCATTTTCACTCCCCCGGGAGTCATGTTAGTGATCCCTTGTGTTTAGGAGTGAACATTCATGCATTTTAAAGTGCTCTCTGAAAGGAGAAGAATGTGAATTTTAACCCATTGTTTACTGGAACCTGGTGGTTCCTGTGTTAAGCCTATGGGAATAAGATAAATCAGTAGCCAACGGGTTAACTCTACTTTCACTATCGTAGGAGTCACTTCAGTGATCACACGATTTTTGGGTTATTTTGGGTGTGCAAAGCATTTCAAGGGTAAAATACAAGGTACACTAAATAATTTCTTACAAAATAAGAAGAACAAGAGGGACCATCTTGAGGCTTGACATGTTGATGGTCCCAATAATTTGCAAGTTATAACATAGATAATGTGCCAAAAGAAAAGAACATAGGCAAAATAAAGGTGTTTGTGTATTAAATTAGTCGTTAAAACAACTGATAAATGATGAAAAACTATAGATAAAAAGATAACAAGTATGATTTACGCTTTCTTTATGAATCTACAAATGGAATTTTAATTCAACGTAGAGGAAAATATATTGCACATCAAACCTTCCCAGAAGTTCATTTACTTGGAACTTTTTGATACTCTTCAAACCTTTTTGAATTACCTTAAAGGTACTATGTCCCATTTGCAGGCCAACAAATGATAAAGTTAAATTTCAACTGCATTTGAAAGATAATACTAATTTAGAACTTCCCTAAAAAGGTGTCGCTTGAAAATGTCTTCAAGTGGGAAAATAACGACTGTTAGTTGTCAAATCGACTTTAGGGCTATAGAGCCCAAAAGTAATAGTTTTGATTTTCAGACAATTGTACCGAATTGTCATACGTTTTATGCTGCACAAAGATTCAATCAGTTTAATCTTGGCCATCACAAGAAGTGGGTTATTGATGAAGACAAATGCTCATGTACCCTTTACAACTCTTTTCATGTATGCTATTACCAAAGAAGAAAAAAAGCCAATCAGTCACTCAATAGTGTCTGACAGTAAAGTCTAGCAAGTAAACGGGTTTCCTTGCATAATTTGAATATGAGGACACTGCTAACGTTTAAATTTCACAGATAGAACATACAAGACATATTCATAATTCCTGCAAAGTTCTACAGAATTTGAGGTTGGCTGCAAAAGGGACATAGTACCTTTAAGAAAACATTTTCGCATAACCAAATGTGTTATAATAGCACTTACACGTCTTTGCACTATTTCACTTTGTTCTTTCCATCAAATGAAATTATAACTGAGAAAAAGAAGAAATTATTTGATGTCATTGCCCGCAAGCAATGCACGTAGCTGTTGTTGTATAGAAATTTTTGTGTGAAAAGAGGGACCCTACAAATCTCGTAGGACGTTTTTTTTTTTTTTTTTTTGGGGGGGGGGGGGGGATACATGCATACACAAAAATGAATATTTGTTTCTGGTTTCGTTGTTTTAACAGCCTGTGTCAAGTACGGACAAGAGTGCACATGCCACCGAAGGACGGGCAACATTGTATACTGCACTGGTGAGTTGAAGTTGCGTTCTGGTCATGCAAGCAATAGACCAGATTAGGGTCGTTTTTTTAAATTAATTTACCTTTGAGTTCTTGCGCATGCTCACCCCACGAATCCACCATTCTCCACGATTATACGTGCGCAATTCTCTTGTATACAGTATATCACTCTAGTGTGCGAGCGGGCGCACACGTCGCTAAAACGTACAAATAGAGAAAAGTCTTAGCAATTAATTTCTTTAATTATTGTTATCTATCTTATAAATATTAATATTTTTATCATTTTTATTATTAACAATGAAATCGGTACCAAGCGGCATATTTATTATATATTTCGTTTTTGTTTGTGGCAGGGGAATCTCAAGAGGATTTCACAGTTATTTACTATTTAACTACAATTTCCGTGTTTTTTTTTCTGTGTGCGTGGGGTTATGAAGTTATTTGCGCATCTTCAACCTTCACTTTCCACATATGGAACCGTTGTATCATCCGCTCAATTTGACTTGCGTGCAAAGAACAAAGAATCATTTTTGCATGGAAAAGAGAAGTTTTCTAAAAAGTGCGTTTCTTTCCAGCATATGGGTGCCCGGGAGTCATTTGGTAACCTTTCAAAAAGTATAATATTAAACAAAATATGGTACTTTCTCTGTACTTTTGTCTGGAAAAACATAGTAATCTAGCTTAATGTCGTCTCTTTTTGCGTCGGAGAAGAGCAAAATAGCGAGTTTCAATTGCCCTTCGGCAGCTCTTGCAACCCCTCACTCGTTCCATGATTGTGGTCAAGCGGCTTTGGGATGAGCGGCTAATGAATCTGGTACTAAACTTGTTTTGATTGGTTGTATATTTGTGTAGGAATTTACCCATTCACATAATGGAACTACCTGCCCGATGAAACTACCAGGCCGATGAAACTTGTGGTCCGTGACCCCCTGCACTCAAGAATGTTTGGGAGTTAGTTCATGGTCAACGTCTTTTATGAGAAAAATCCAAGCAAACCTTTCCATATGAAAATCCCTTTTCCGCAGTTTCCGAGATCGAATAATGATGGCGATTGTAAATCCTGTATAGAGTGCTGGGTGTTTGCATTAAGTTTGTCTCAATCTATTTCAATTTAAAGGTAGTTATAACTACGGGAGCAGCGAGTTTCGGGACCATACTGCTACAGCCGACCTGAGATGGCGCTATTTTGCGGTAGTGTTTCTAGTATAGTGTGGCTTAAAGAAATACGGTCTTGCTACAAGATTTGTGAACCGTTAATTTTTTCATTTCTTCTTTCAAATTCATACAGGTGCTGGCAATGGCGATGGTATTTAGATGAAATGACAACAGACCCGGATGTCACACTGTTCACCCGACCCATGCTTCGACCTCCACTCCAAGACTCCTGCAGGCGGTTGCTTAACTTCGTGTTTATGTCTGCATGTCTATCATTGCGCAATGAAAGAAAATAGATATGGTTAAACAAAATAAACTCCTGAATATCACATACAATTGTTAATGTGTTTCTTGTTAAAGTGACTCATGAGGTGTGATGCGTGATACGTGATGAAGGTTTTGTGAAACGCTGGCTATTTCAAGTTGTCGGTGTGGAGGGGCATGGAATAGCCAGAGAATAGAGGAGACCAATATGAACCGCAAACAAAGAGAGGGAAAGAGAGAGATTATTTATGCGTGTGTGTGTTTGTGTTTGTGTGTGTGTGTGCGCGCGGGCAAGTTTGCGTGTTTGTGAGAGAGAGTTTGTGGAGTAGGGCTATCGAGAGGGAAATAAGAAAGAGAAAGCGAAATGAAGATAAGAAGAAGAAGATAGAGAGAAAGAGAGAGAGAGAGAGAGAGAGTAAGAGAGAGAGAGAAAAAAATGTATTAGAGAGAGACAGAAAGAGTATGAGAGAGAGAGAGAGAGAGAGAGAGAGAGACAGAGAAATGGTAGAGTAGGACGAGGGATAGGAAAAGGAAAACGAGAAAGCGAAATGAAGACACAGAAGGGGATATATATTTTCTCTCGTTTGTTTTGCATTGTAAACTGGACCCCTCGGTAGAACAGCTGTAATGCACTGGCACAGCTGAGCAGGGCGATCCATCCCATGTTATTTGTTAATCTTATTATTTATGTTGTAATTTATATATTTATATATTTGGTAAATAAAATAAAATAAAATAAAATGTATAGCAAGAGAGAGAAAAGAGGTAACAAATAGAAAAGAAAAAAGAATGACAATGACAATGCACAAGTAATACTTACAAATAAGCACAGAAAGAGAAAATTGTTATCCGAAGCTTACATCAATTACAAACAAAGAGGAATATTAAAACAAATTAGAAGAGATGTGTTTTCAAATACTTTTTGGAAGCTATGATAGTATGGCAACTAGTGCAGGGGTAAGGAGTTCCAAGTTTTTTCGGAAATGACTGAAAAGGCCCTATCACCTATCTGTTTACTGGCTCGAGGATGGTATGCGTATTAATACTGCCTGATCGTGTATTATGCATGGATGTTTGCGCATGGAGTAGATCACCTAGATATGCTGGGCCTCGATTATTGAGACACTTGTAAGCGAGAATTAAGGTCCTACGTATGTTTCGATTGTTAACGCGAAGCCAGTGAAATCGCTAACGAAAAGGGAGACACAGACACATTTTGGTTTGCAATGAATGAGCCGTGTTGCTTTAAATTTTGGAGGGGTTGAAGGGAGTCAAGATCTTGAAGCGATATACCATGAAATAGCGAATTCCGAGGAATATGCTTACTTTCATCTGACTGGGCTATTGATGAGTGGTGTAGTGTGCCCCCTCCCAACCTGACATTCATCTAATCTCTATATGAAATCATCATCTTCATTATTGTTACCATCACCATCATTGTTATCATTATCACCTTCATCTACAGCAGCAGCAGCAGTTGCAGAATCATTGTAATTTTGATTACATCGTCTGCGTCGTCGTCACCATCATAATCGTCATCAACAACAACAACATCATAATTATTATCATCACCATCATTATCATCTTGATCATCATTATTATCAACATCATCGTCATCATCATCATCACTATCACCATCAGTATCATGATCATCGTCATCATCACCAGGATGTAGAATATGCATGTTGTTATAAGTTTGTCAAATTATGGATTTATAATCAAATTATCACTCCCCACTTACAGATTAATGATATATTTGTTGTCATTTCATTTTGTAAATGTATATGTATTTATATGAGGGATCCCGTTCTACAAGCCCAGGGGGGGGGGGGGGGGCGTTTCTCAAAAATTGTCATCAGTGACAAATGACAGTTTTTGTTATAAGCTACTGAAATCCATGCTTCTGATTGGTTATCAGCAGATTTGTCACTGATTTTTGTCATTTGTCATTGAAAAAAGGCTTTGTAAACGGGTACCTGCTTCTCAATAAATCCCTCCATTTCCACACTTTTTCTTTAGAAAAGCGCACATTATTTACAGCAAATGTATACATTCGATTATTAATATGCAAAATGCTTTAAATCAATGTAATTTTTTTTCGGATCGACTCTTTCTCATAATTATTTTATGGATTGTTCTGTTGGAAATGAAATTAAAACTGAAACCGAGACAATCCACTCATCAAAATCAAAACAATACTTACAACTTATTTGATTGCCAACCTTTTGGTTATACACATGTCAAATTGAAGCTTCAGATTTGTAGGTGTTCAATTAAGCGTTATAGCGTAATATAACTTCGAAATGTGTGGCGTACCATCAGCTTTTTTAATACATGTATTACCTGTGTAATGAATCTAATAATGGGATGCCGATGAACTTGTACTTCTGACGGTTTCGTGAAGCGCTGCCCTGATTCTTTGGGTGAACGTCTCGTGGTGTGCGAACAGGCAGGTAATAAATATGTGTGTGTGTGTGTGTGTGCGTGAGTGTGTGTGTGTGTGTGTGTGTGTGTGTGTGTGTGTGCGCGCGCGTATGAGGGCTATAACAACCATTATAGGTCATCCGTCTACAGTGTTTTCAATTGGAAACATGAACAATAAATGGCCAACCTCTATTAGAGCAGTCGTGTTAGATTAGTTGTTTTGAAGAAAGAAAAACCATCATATTTTAAGTTTACTTTAAGAGACGGGATCAGTATCAGCATCAAAAATACATAATGCTTTACAAACCATCAGTCGCTTAATCTATCAAATACTTTTATCTTTCTCTCTATAGGGAGTCAAAAATTCTAAAAAATAATGTTTTCAATTAAGAAAACCAACAACATCATAACCTAATCAGTGGCGGATCCAGGAGTTTCTTACTTGGGGGGGGGGGGGGGCACAAAATCGCATGGGGTGAAATATATGAAAAACGAAAAACGATGGAGCGAGGCGTCAGCGGCAAGGGAGCGGAGCGACCAAGCTGGGGTGGGTCTGGGAGGGTTAGGTAGGAAGCATTTGCAATTTTAGAACTACATTAGGTGCATTTTCAGGCACTTCCTGGAGTAATATGACGTAAAATTGCCTTTTCCTACCCCCTCAAAGAGTAGGGATCCAGGGGTAGATGATGGGATCTGGCTTTTTGCTAAGGGGGGGGGGGGGGGTGACCCAAGGACGACAAGGACCATCGTCCACGAGCCGCGAAGTGGCGAGGCAATTTTTTTGTTGTTGCTATTTTGAACCCCCGTAAGTAATATTTTCCTGGCATCTACTAACACAATGGAGACCATAAACAGCAGTTCATGATAACGTCTTTTTAAATCAAATAACAGTTTGAGGGGGTTCGACCCAATGACGATGCGGAGCATCAGCCGCGTAGCGGCGAGGCGATTTTTGTTGTTGCTATTTTGAACCCCCTAAGTGATGTTTTCCTGGCATCTACTAACACAATGGAGACCATAAAAAGCAGTGCAAGATAACGTCTTTTTAAATCAAGTATTAGTTTAAGGGGGGTTTGACCCGATGACGATACGGATACTGTGTGGGTCTGGACACATGATGGCGTTTTACTATTCACATCACATTTTCACTTGGCAGCCCAAGGGGGGGGGGGGTTAAACCCCCGTACCCCTCCCCCATCCCCCCACAGGTCCGCCACTGGGATATTTTGCAAACTGGAAGCAACAAGCATTACATGTAGGCGATGGAAAAATGTGCTTGCGAAACGGATAGAAACTTCGCGGCTACAGGGATGACAGAAAATAATATGACAATGAAACCAGCAACTGTGGCAGGATTAATGGCGGGGACAATCTGCAAGCTGAAAGAGCACCTGTGCCCCCCCCCCCTCCCCCTGGATACACCACTGCTAATTCCACAGCAGCTCACCGATCCAAGACCAACATTTTTACATAGATGATACATTGATACTAATGGACGATTAGTTTTGACAGCGAATAATTTCATTTCGAAGATAGCGGGACATTGTAACGCATCACGCTTTAACAGAGATCACCTACAAGTGAGCTTCGCAAGTGAACTGAAGGAGATTCTGAGACATGAAGACATTTTTTTAGGATGTCGAAACTTTTTAATCTTACACATACTAATCGTCACTTTTTCTACCTATTGATTAACGGCGTATCCAGTGATTGGCTTCAGAACGGGCAAACTATTTTGACTGATTATGAACCATTAGTAAGGAGACCTATAGTTACGTTACAAGACTTTACCCTCAAGAAGGATACACATTTCAACTTACTGTTAGCCGTATACTTCTAGTAAAAAGGGCTCTGGCTTGCGATATAGTGGAAGGGGGATGGGGAGCATCGCCCAAAATTATTTATGAAAAGTAAAGTCTTTGAGATTATGTCAACACTTTGAGCGTTTCTCGACTTAGATGTGTATAATAGTTTCTAACGTGTTACTAGTGAGGCTGCTTTACTTGTTGTTGATATAACATCTGCCAGGAGGGGCGAAGTGAACCTTTTTCAAATAAATGGCAAGTGCCCTTGATTCTCCCTGATATTGAAACTCTTTGATTTTTTGTATTACCGGACCAAGTGTTCAATAGGATTTATCTGTAGTCTCTTTGTATTTGTTGTAGTAAAGACACAAAACAAGCTTATTATTGAGAGAAGGAGAGAGCGAGAGAGAGAGAGAGAGAGAGAGAGAAAGAGAGAGAGAGAGAGGAGAGAGAGAAATAAGGAAGAGATAGATGATTGGATGAGAGAGAGAGCGAGAGAGAGAGAGAGAAGTCACATACATAAAGATATATAAATACATGGCAGTTTGGCAGGTTTTTTTTGTGCCTTTCAATATTATTGAAAGCTTTGTTTATTCTTTGTTTCTACACTTCATTGATATCATTGATTATTAAAAAGTACGATTTAAAAGTGGAGTTTATTAGTTGAAATAACGAACGCCCCTCAGGTCATGTCCGTGCAGCAGAGCGAGTCCATAACTGTTTGTTTTCTGTGTTTTCTTAAAGATGGGTTCATGAAAGACTGATATATTATGATCTAATTTCACACAGCGGGTGGTTTATTTGATGTTCTGAGTAGTCATTTCCGAAGAGCATTT